CCCCCCCACCCCAGCTGCCCCACAGGGGGAGGGCCCTTGGCATCCCACCTGCTCCACCCGGTGCCCAGACCATCTGAGCAGAGTGAAGATGTCAAAGAGAAAACCCCAAATCGGATTGAGGCTCCTGCTCCCCCTTAATGAGGTTCATTATCAGCTGCTCTGATCCTGGTAAAAAAACCCAGCAGGCCGGATTAGGGGCAGGATCTCTAATCCTGGCTGACTCCTCCCTGCTGAGCAGCTCCCACAAACAAACCCTCTTCCAGAGGAGGGGCTGGATGTGGGCAGGTGCAGGCAGGCTCCTGGCAGACCTGCGGCCAGGCGGGTGCTCCCAGGAAGGGTGGGAAGGCAGGAGGCGGCAGGACTGCACGTATTATCCCCATGCACCAGGGGACGCCCGGGGCCTGGGGCCTGGGCGCTGGGGAGCTCTGAGGCAGTGGGAAGGGCCCTGCTTCCCTGTGGCCAAGGAATTGAGTATAGTTGCATCCTAGGTTGGTTGGCCTGGTCTCTGTGCATTCTGACCAGACCTGGAAATGGATCTCCAAGAAGTTAGCTGAAGAACACACCGATGCTTGCCTTAGCAAAAATAATTTATTCCACAAGCCTCCCAAGATGCAGGGTAGAGTGCGAATCAAGCATGTATGCAATGCTGCTCCCTCTTAGGCCTGCCTGACCTGTGTGTTGTGTGTGTCGGGGTGTGTGTGTGGGGGTTCTTGGACATTTCCCTCCCAATCTGCAACCCAGCATCCTCCATGTCCAAAGATGAGCATCTATTCTGGAGACCAAAATAAAAAGCCTAAAGACCCAGCTCAGAAAGCAGGGAGCTCAACAGGGATCAGCCAGAGTTATTCAAGTCGACCACTTTTCCTGTGTCTTCCCTCAGCCCTTGCAGCTAAGTCAGCTAAGGCACTATGGACCCCACAGCCTTCCCCATGCCATCTTGTCAGGTCCTGCCAAGCAAGCCACTCACCCCACAGTCCAGTGACCATCGCCCACCTCACCGGGGAGACCATCATGACTTCCAGAAACTTCCAGAGCCCATGATGAAGTCAACTCCACCCCCAGGAGGCCTGAAGAGCTGGAGGCCAGACAGACCGTGGGGGCCCAGAGATGGTCCTTCCCTCTGGGATGCAAAGGCCTCTTCATGTCCAGGAAGCAGCAGGATGTTCGGAGCTCTAGGTGTAGGGAGGAGTTCCTCCCCAGCTCACCCAGTTCAGGGGACCTTCCTGTGGCTTCACGTGCCCCAGTACAGGGCCAAAACCAAGTAGGAGAGACTGAGGCCCCAGTGAGCATGGGATAGGATTTCCAGTAAGCTGAAAGATGGGAATTGGTGCTTGGAGGCTAGCCTGAGCCTCCTTAAGCCTACTGCCTGAGGCTGCCTGCCCTCTATGCAGCATAGGAACCTGGAGGCTATTCCTGTCTTTTGTGTCTACAAACTCTCCTTCCCAGCAGACCCCAGAAGGTTCATTGGAGCAAATGGTTTTCCTGGACTTCCCACCCTTCTAGGCTGGACAAGGAGCAGAGTTGCGAGGGGAGGGGATAGGGCAGGGGGCTGGAAGAACACGATAGTGGCTTCCTCTCCTCCCCCCTCCCAAGGTGTACTGTTCAGGCTGCAGGGTGGCCAGCATGGCCCTTCAGTGCCCTCACCTTGGCCCGGAAGTAGGTGTACACGGCCAGCAGGCCCATGAAGGACAGGGAGTAGAGCCCCACACACAGGCTGATGTCCAGGTGGGAGAAGCCCCCTCCCAGCACCTGCAGCCACTGGCCTCGGCCCTGCCCGCCTCGGGCCTCCAGCTCCCCCTCAGGGACGTCAGCCAGCTGCCTGGAGCTGCGACCCCAGAGGCGGTTCTTCTCAGCCCAGGGCTCAGCCGGCAATGCAGCCCCCGCATCGCGCTTGCTGAGGCGCCGAGGCCCCTGCGGCTGTTTGGGCTCATCCCTCCAAAGCTCCACCACATGCTCAGGAGGCCCCCGGTCTGGCCCAACTCTGAGGTTGGTGTCTAGCTCTGGGGGGCCACTCGCCTCAGGTCTCTCCGCCAGAACAGCCATGACGATGTTTCCAGGGGATCTGGTCACCTTGTCCATCTCTGGGCCCAGAGACGAATTTCTGGTTCCCAGCTCCAGGGCTCCCATGACCAGCTTTGGGACGGCTGCCAATTCCTGCATACCCCTCTGAGCACCCGGGCCAGCTCGGGGGAGGGCCAGGACGATGTTGCTTGGGGAGAAGTGGGCCTTGAGGAAGTGCAGGGTGGCGTCCACATCCCACACAGGCTCACCCCGGAGTTCATTGTGGCAGGCAGAACAGAGTTCACGGGGCGGCCACTGCACCTTGGGGAACTGTGGGTCCTCGCTGGGGGCACCTGCAGAGAGAAGCACGTGGGCTGGCTGTCACATGAGGCCTCCTAGAAGCCCA